ACAAAGACATGCACCAGATTTTCATGAAGGACCAGTTCCAGTTCACGTCGGAACACTTTTGTATCACCTGGATCAGAAGCCAATCACTGAACCAAGTACAACCAAAGTACCAACACAAAGGCACAACCAAGGTGGAAGACGAAGATTTCAGCTTAGAGAAGGAAAGAGTTTATCTTTGAAATTTTTCTTCTGTCTTTTACAAACACAGTATTTTTTTATAATACTCCCGCAATGCTGACGTCATTAACACCTGCTTCAGCTGGCAGTTCCTGGGGACAGTTAGAAAGTTACACAATGATGTCCAGAATGCCCTGTCTAGCTTTTGATCTATGATTGAGATGGCATATAGACAAATAAAACACAGACAGCATGCCAAGCAATTTAAAAAATAACCTCAAAACTATGTTAAAGGCCACTTCGGATCTAGTTTAATTTCAGTGAGGGAGCTTTCCGCTGGTGTAACACAGATCTTGCCTACATTTGCATAACAGCTTTCCACTAAGGTAGTCAGTTGTTTTTGGCATGATGCCTGCTTATACACCAAATGAAAATAACCTTTAAACCATGTTTTGCAGCTGTCTCAGCATGAACATTTCCTTTAATCTGGTGGAAGGCTGATAAATGGGACAAATCTTCCAAGCTGCATGTCACCCCTGCCACACGTAATGAGCAGAACCACAGTTCAGCCTTAACCTTCCTCCCTCCCTCTTTTAAATATATTTTAAATCAAGATATTATTCCATAGTTTTTTGCTCAATTTTTTTTACTGTCTTTTTTTGTTTATTTTGGAAGACAATTAAGATCTTGTGGAAACCTCTATTGGAGCCTGACAGCAGCAAAGAATTCACATCTGAGGAGTGATTCCCGCCTCCTGCATCCTCCTGGGAACTAACACTAACTCTAGACTCAGTCATCTAGCTGCCTCCATTCATGAGAGAGGAATACCAACACTACAGACTGTCAAACATGAATACAAAACTAAGACCCACTTACACTAGTCTTCAGACTAACTTTTATAAGTTTGATAAAAACAGCCCCTAGGAATCTTAGAGATATGTACACAATTAGCACCGTGATTTTATCAGATGATATGAAGATATCATTCACACTAAAAGCCTATGTATCTGATAAAAAAAAAAAAAAGACACCCAATAAGAATTAAGTTTTATCAAAATAAGCTTGATTCCCTGAAATTCAGCTGCTTCTATGTAGAGTTAAAATTCTGCTAAAAAGCTCAAAATTCCTAAAAGTGCATCTGGGGGGTGGGTGGGAAGTGGAAGGGGAGGAAAACAAGCACACAGCACTGTCATTTCTTCCATGGTACCACACTTGCGTGAAAAGAAGCCAGAATAGTTCTAGAGTGAACTTTGTAAACTGCCCATTTGTAACTCAAGCGGCTTCTGTTTCGACTGAAGAAACAGGACGTTGCAGTGCTGCAGCCTACGTTAATATGTAGTGTAAGTACTGAAGTTGGAAAATAGTACTTTGCCCCAAGAGAAGCTTACAGGGTGGGCTGGATTTTAAGATTAGTTCAAACTCTTCGTCTTACTCTTTACAGATTTATAGTAAGAAGTTATAGTTAAGCTGTTTCATTGCACGGAAGATAAAATAAAATTACGTATGGAACATAAACCATGCAAAAACTACTGTGCTTTACAAAGTAGTTAAAGTGTCAACTATAAATTAAACCATAAATCAGTCAAAACTGCAACATCCAGGAAGAAACAATTACAGATGTAAGTGTTCACTCTTTAGTCAAAAAATAATTACTGCCATATGCTTGAAGTTCAGGGGATTATTTTTTTGTGGGTTTTTTTGTTTGTTTTATTTCTAAAGAAGTGCAACACCAGAATATTTAAGCTGTTGCATGCTTATAGAAAGTACATTTTCAATGTTAAAAATCACGCCCCATATGTAGCAGAATTGTATATAAAATAATTTACATGAGAATGCTGGGAAGATTTCACTCAATTTACTGTTTATTCACTCTACATTATAATGAACATTTACATAGCAGGTACACAACTCTTTCAAATTACTCACGAGCATTTTTTGATATCAGTTATGGAAAGTCTATTGTTACATCATGATAAACTTTTAGAAGTAGCTTTATTTTCTAGATAGCAAATTAATGGAGCTTCTTACAGGAAAATTTTAATTATGACATTCTAAGAAAGCTGACTGAAGTAGACTTAAATATTGAAGTAGACTTGATGAATTTTACTTTCAAAAATATTTTTCTTCACCCATGTCTGACATAGGGATTCACCCTGTTCTCCTCCCCCCATCTATAGCTCGAAAAACAGATAGTTTAACTTGTATTAACTGTGGTACTTCAAGATATACTGTTGATATATATTCCAACCGAGACAGAGTTATCCTGTGCAGATGCATTTCTGGCCTGTACTGTTCATTGATAACCATACCTGCACCACATCCTTCAACTAATAGTACTACAGGGAAGGGAGACTATGCAACGTCTTACAACCTCAAAGAAAGAATCCAGGAATTTCAGAATTAACAGGGAGAACAACACGCTACAGTGCAGTTATGCAAAATCCATAATTAAAGGACTTGTTTAGTTGCAAGCTGGGCAACTGTTTCATCTTGTTCTTGCTCATTTACTCCAGCAGCGTCAATGCATCCGATGTAAACGGCTGCAAGGATCCTAATTAAGGACAGCAAGCTAGCTCCCACCAGACAAACAGTTTGTGATGCTCCTACAACAGCAAACGCTGCACAACGGTACATATGGAGCTCCCCACACATTTCTACTGTGCACACACCACTTAAAGAAACTACAACTGAGACACAGCCCTGCTGGAGCAGATGATGATTGCTTCCAAATGCCGAGATATGTAACACCTAATCCAACATATCTAGTAAATGTTACGAAAATCTTGGATCAACTCCCATTGACCTTCTTCCACTTACACATTAGATGCAAGTGGCCTAGTTTACAGTGTTTCTTCTACAGGTGCGGAAGTCCTCCTACTTTCTGCCTTTCTAGGAGCTGTGATTTCAGCTGAAACAGGGTCAGTAGAAAAAGATGACATTGCAAGTAGCCCAAAAAGACACGTTATCAATCCTTTTATAACTATGCTGGATCCAAGAGATGGAAGTTCTCAGAAGCACTATGCATTTTAATAAAATATGGTACTGTGGGAGGGAATAAAAAGAAAAGCCCATGAATCCGGAACCAGAGGGTGGTTAACCAAGATGGAGCTTATATACAGACTATCAGGAAACTTTGTCAGTCCAGACAAGTTATAGATGATCTAATGCATCTAGTCAGCATTTGAAAGTCATTAGCGAGATGTAGTAACTATACAGTAATTTCTTCTTCTTTCAGTAAATATATAGCTCTACCAGGGTTCTGTAGGCTATCAGAAATATTTTTGTCTTCTCTTGCAAATGATATCGGCAAATTTAGCCTTTTATCTGAAATATATTATAGAACTCCAGTGCCACAGTGAAATACCAAATGCCACTAATACAGAGTTTACCAACACCACAGCTATTAGCTTCGTGAAATTTAGTGCTGTCTGACAAATACCAGACAGTTCTTAGCATCTGAAGAGAAAAGGTAATGTAAAGGAGTGAAACTCATTTGAGTTATATAGGGGGCATCCAACTTTTCTTTCTCTCACTCAAGAAAACTGGGGGGTTTTTTTGACTAACCAAAAAGGCAGCATTATTTTTAAGCAAAGAAAAAAATCAGTATTTCAGGTTTTTAATCATTGTAGTAAATTTTTTATAAAATTATTTTTATCACATATCAGTATGTTCAGATTTCAGTTCTTTTCAATTTTATAACTGAAATACAATCAGAAGACATTTAAATGTGTGTTGCAAGATAATAATCAGTCGTAAATCACAGAATCACAGAATCACAGAATAGCAGGGGTTGGAAGGGACTTCTGTGGGTCATCTAGTCCAACCCTCCCGCCGAAGCACGGTCACCTACAGCAGGTTGCACAGGACCTTGCCCAGGCGGGTCTTGAATATCTCCAGAGAAGAAGACTCCACAACCTCCCTGGGCAGCCTGTTCCAGGGCTCCGTCACCCTCAGAGGGAAGAAGTTCTTCCTCATGTTCAGACGGAACTTCTTGTGCCTCACTTTGTGCCCGTTGCCCCTTGTCCTGTCACTGGGCACCACTGAAAAGAGCTTGGCCCCATCCTCCTGACACCCACCCTTCAGATATTTATAAGCATTTATTAGGTCCCCTCACAGCCTTCTCTTCTTCAGGCTGAACAAGCCCAGCTCCCTCAGCCTCTCCTCGTAGGGAACCTCCCTTGTCCTGCTGGCCACACTCTTCTTGATGCACCCCAGGATCCCATTGGCTTTCTTGGCAGCCAGGGCACACTGCTGGCTCATGGTTAACCTGTCGTCCACCAGGACACCCAGGTCCCTCTCCGCAGAGCTGCTCTCCAGCAGGTCCACCCCAAGCCTGTACTGGTGCATGAGGTTGTTCCTCCCCAGGTGCAGGACCCTGCATTTGCCTTTGTTGAACCTCATCAGGTTCCCCTCTGCCCAGCTTTCCAGCCTATCCAGGTCACGCTGAATGGCAGCACAGCCTTCCGGTGTGTCTACCACACCTCCCAGTTTGGTGTCATCAGCAAACTTGCTGAGGGTACATTCTAACTCTTCATCCAGGTCGTTGATGAAGAAGAATTATTTAAATACTGTCAAGTCATGTTAAACAAGTACAGTCTTTTAAATATAAAGTAGTCTTAATATTTGCTTTACCTAAACATTTTGTTCTAACAATTCATAAAAATTATCTGTTTAGAGGAACATAACTATAAAGGTCTCATATTCACAGTAAGATTTCTCCTGTTTTACAGTCCAAGCATACTGTATTTCTCGCATATGGACCCCCTTCCATTAATCTGACAAAGGAAGATCTCCTACCATCAATCTGCTGGACCATAATGCACAAGCTAACATTTTACCGCAACCACAAACTTACATAACCAATCGGAATGATCAAAACATACCTGTTTTTTCTGATGTTCTGAGAAACACCATGTCAGATGGGATTCGTTGATTCTGAAGAGAGCTGGTAGAAAAAAAAAAAGGTATGTTTTTTGTAAGTAGGGGAAAAAGTGAATTCCAATCAAATGTCCAGTAAGATCTATCACCAAAAGGTCACACTTGGATTGAAACTCAATTAAAATAGGATTTCTCACAGTACTTTACATTCAGCATTTACAATTCAGAAATCAATATTTTCGAAAAATTATACAATAAGCAAACAACAGCTAATCCTTTCAGATGCTCTTTATAAGTGAATTATAAATACCTGAAGAACTACAACAGATTCACATGTTTCTTCACTGAAAACAGTAGTTTGAGAATATAAATATCTAACAAATATTTTTTAAAATAATTCCACTGAGCAAAACTCTGACACTCAGTTAAGCCTATATGACAGAAAAACCAGTGAAATTTAAAACATCCATCTTGGCACTTCAGTTGCAAACATGTATACCAACTACTCTCCTCTCTCACAACACACACAAACACACACAGAGGAAACAGTAAGTCATGTGAAACAGGAAAATGTTTTTCCCTACCTATAAACCTCTCCTTTACAAAGACAAAAATGAATAGAATTTCTTCCCCAGCATCTAAGACATGGAGCGATATGCAAAGTCAGAGGCATCTGTACACCTGTTCTGCTGTTTCCCTTTCAAGCATAGAACTAGCTGTATCAAATCACGTTTTCAATTTTTTGTTGGCCACAGAAAGGCCAATCTAAGCTTTCGCAGATTAAACAAAATCCCACACAAATGCTACCTGCTGCCTGATCACCCCTATTCTTAGGTCTCCCACCACTTGTTCATAGGGCACCTACCAGCACCAGTTACACGCTGCCAATGCAGAGCTTAAGAATGAAAAACTGGGGGAACTCAAAATAACCAACATGTCAAAACCTGAAAGAGATACAGGACTGGAAAGGAACAAAGCAACAGACTAAGCTGACAGGGAGCAGAGTGAACGATGGGCAGAGCCATGAGAAAGGTACTGCACTGAATTTCAGTTTCTTCCATCACCACTTCTGTCCAGTGTGCCACATGCTGTACTGCTCAATACTGAAGCTGAACAGAAAGATTCATTTGCATTTTATTTACAGACTATCTTTAACCAATTAAGAAATCTCAGTGGATTATTATCAATGGCTTTACTAGTTGTATGCTAAAAAATATTTCTTAATATTCATTTCAGGTTTCTTGTTAAGAGGATATAATGCACAAATATTTTTGCCATAGAAGGTACCTCCATTTGAGAACAAATCTCCAGTTTTTCTCTTATACTTAGATGACATTGAAAGCCACTGCATACATAAGGCTCATCTTTTATTTTTTAAGAGCTCAGCTGAGTGGAAAAGAAAATAAATGTAGCTAATGAAGTCCACCACATGGCATTCACAAACCTCACATTTCAGCCTGAAAAACCTGACCGAATTTACTCAACATAAAAATTTGAGAAGCATGTTCAGTATATGAGCGTTTCAATACCACACAATTATTTCCTATTTCACACTTCAATTATCATCAAACTGCAAAATTAATACAGCACTAATAATTCAATTGTGGCTCTATTGTGCACAAACTATCAGCTATAGTAAACTGGTTAGTTATTTTATACAGAATAAACAGCAATGAAGATGGGGTCAAGCTAACCGGAAAACTTCAACTCGAGACATTAAGCAATGGAACATCTCACGTACTGAACGCAGCATACAGAATCCGGCCAGTAAATTTTGTAAGGGTAATCCTAGTCACAGTACTCTAATTCACTGTATCAAAGTGGAAGATACAAATTCTGTGGGTTATTACAAATATGTAACTATCAAAGAAAACCATAATGGGGTCATAATTATCTTTACATGAAATTCAAGTGCATTCAGCATGTAGCAGCTTTGAAGGTACTTATCCCAACAGGAATCTAGGCAATAGCCCAGACCCCAGAAAACACATTCAAAAACCTCCTAAAAGAATCAACACAAAACACAGAGGGGTATTTTTGTTCATCTGAGTCAAGCCAGTCCTCCATCTCAGTATTTAAGAACACAACACTGCTATGGACACAAAGAAACCCAGCATTCTTAAACTGGTTCGATTCGAAACCAGACACGTAGCTTCTCATTTTTAACCCTCCATCTTTTACTTTTTTCAAGGCAGCACTTCTTCAGAATCACAGAATCATCACCGCATGTCAAAAGAAAAATCTTAGGTGTATGTACACTCACAGTCCCCTCCAACAAAACAGCTCAAAATACATTTGTCAAGATAATTAAACCCTGCTTTGTACGACACTTAGTGTGTGGGACCTTCAAAATACTATGCCTGACTATCCATAAAAATGAGTTCAGAGTGAAAAAATTCACATTGTCACACTCATAATGGAGAATGAATGTGTATTTAAACCAGGCAATACCACTGAAGCAGCTGATGCTTTTTCCCCATATATAATGCTGAACTCTAACTTTGCCTTAGTTCTTGAGAAGCCACACTCATACAGCAATATTATTTCTGACCACAAAACATCCTGGGTACTGTAGGCAATGTTTTCCATTGCTTCAGAGAAACCTTCCCAAGCTCAGCAGGCATCCACAGCAGTGCCATTTGGGATACTGTGATCAGAATAGATGTGTCAAGAGTCAACTGCCAGATTCTGTGTTAATGGGCTCAGCTTTCAAAATAAGAGGATGTAAGTTCCTAAACCTCTGGAAGGCAGGTACCTCTTACCACTCCCTGTACCACCCTCTCAAGGACACCAGTTCAGAAGTGGGACTGGAACCAACTGCAGCTGTATTCTCTGTTGATGGGAAGTTCAGCATAGGAGTGCCATGAAGGGCTACAGGGATGCTACTATCTCAAGTAAGCTGGGAAACATCAGAAAATAGATACATGTTCTCGTTTACCTAAAAATCCTATGCAGTTAGAAAAAACCCTTCTCATACCTTGAAACTATGCATTTTCATGTATGGAGACTTCCTGATTTGCAGCAATTCCCATTTATTTGTAAAAGCACACAGAGTTAAAAATTCATGTGCTTGTCTGTACGTCAGCACTATTCACCCTGAAGAGGCTGCTCACCTGCAACTGCAGCTAGTACAACATTTTTTGGAATCTTGCCTTATAACAGAAAATAATTAAATGTGTAGTAAAATTTATTATCCATCATGAGCCTAGATTCAACCAAGAATATCTGATATTCAGATTTGGAAAAAACTGCAGTAAAAACATTAGCCTTAATTATTATGCACCTATTAGAAGAAAGAAAAAAAGAGGAAAAGGAAACTGCAACTTCAAAATTAAATAAATCTTTCCTTAAATGACAATAACAATTAAAGAGATATCCAGCTTCACACAGATTAGCTATACATTTTTGCAGCTTGCCTGCCAGCTCTGACATAAATCCATTGCACAAGTTTCAGGTTACTGGCTTCATACCTACAAACTTCCAGTTACTTGTAAACAAGGTAAAACACTTGACCAACACCCAAAAATTTTGCAGAAATAGCAGTCAAATGATCTAATACTGAATGAAATACAAGGTCTAATAATCTGAATGAGGTATCAGGTTTTTACAAACCATTACCAGCTTCCACGGAGAACGCATGTTTCACATTCAGTAAAGGAAACATTCACCTAGTACTTGAGATCCAAGATTCAGGTCTTTATGGCTGACAAAACCGGGCAGAATCATAGAATATCTCAAGCTGGAAGGGACCCATAAGGATTGAGTCCAAGTCCCTGCTCCTTGCAGGACTACCTACAGCAAAGCCATTAGGCGAAGAGCTTCACCCAGACACTCCTTGAACTCTGACAGGCTTGGTGCTATGACCGCTTCCCCGAGAAGCCTGTTCCAGTGAGCAACCACCCTCTCAGTGAAGAGCCTTTTCCTAATGTCAAACCTGTTCTTCCCCTGATGCAGCTTCATTCCATTTCCTCGGGTCCTATCGCTGGTCACCAGAGAGAGGAGATCAGTACACATTCCCCCTCGCCCCCCTTGAGGAAGTTATGGACTGCAATCAAATTAGTCATGTGACCATTTTCACATTTTATTAGGAAAAAATGCATCTTGATTTTGTGTCTTTTTAATGTGTTCTCTCTGCTTGTTGTTCTTTCCTGTAAAATAATGTAAGCTTTTCTGCACTGACATACCTGAATATATCCTTCCATGTAGGGAAGAATAGAGCCTGTCTTGTCTTTACTTTCTCCCTCAGGGGAAAAAAAAAAAAAGGCAAAAAATAACAAAACCAAAACCACAGCAGTATTTAAGATTGGCATCTCTGTTTCCATCAGGTTTTTCATACTGCAGAAAGGTACTGCAGGAGTATTAGATATCAAAAAACACTGTCACTATTACTGCTGACACCGGAGAGCAAAGATCCCCCTGCAAAGATCTACCTAGTCACTACCGAAGAGTGACTGCGCAGAAACAGATGGCAAGTATGCTACGAAAATCTTTAACACCTCATTATGGAGAAAATTAAGTTCTGCTGTACATTGCCACAGACAAACAGCAGCAATATGTCAATCATGTTAGCCCTCTCATGTCCTGTTTATCAAAGTGGAACAAGTTAAAATGACAACACATACAACTTCAAGCATTCAGAAACCTGCAAAGAAACCATGTAATCTCAATTACCATGAAGATGAAGCTAGAAATGTTTATTGATATATACTGAAATTTGAATACATAAGTCATGAAACTGATTTGACTACATTGTTTTGCTTAAGTCTGGGCAGAATTAGAGCTCCAAAGACGGGCTTCCATTTCTCTGAGTGTTTTTCTATGTTGCAGACTTACAGATTCATTCCTAGAGATCTAACTACAGCGAGACAATGGTCAATATAAGGTAAGTACTTCCCCAGCTTCTGGGTTCCCATGGCCAACTCCATGCCAGCCAGGAATACTAGCCAGACTGGAAAACAAGAAAACCCACAAACACACCTATACTTCCCTGCAACACAGGCTACAATCTTCACTTGAAAAATACCATTCCTAATAGCTTTCAAATTACTTTTTTCTCATGTTATCATGAAATTGTTATTTACATAAGTTTCTCCAGCTCCCTAGTCAGTCTTCCAATTCCCCTACAACTGTCCATAGCTACCGACCCTCAGAATTTTGCATTTACTGTTCTTTCTTCTCCATTCATGTAACGAACCATGTACTTTTCTCATTGACTAAAATATTCCTGCTTGCTTCTGACTTGTAAACAGAAGAGGCACTTCCCAGTTGTCTTCTCGCATCTGCATGCTGTACAATACTGCATGCTAGCATTAACTACAATCCTTACAAGTATTAGATTAATTTCAGTTTAACACCCGAGATTAAGAAAAACAATTTTGTCACTTTACAGCTCAAAAATAAGATCTCAAAGTTTCAAGACAAAGCATTACTGTTCCCCATGTTTTAAAACACTGTTATGCATTGTTATTATTAAGTGTTATTAAGTAAATGTGTTACTAAGTAAATGTGTTAAAATTTTATGCCCTCTTCACATCTCCAAAATATATTCCAAACTGTCAATAATCTACAGTGTCTAAATAACAATATCTGAACTCATCAACTCATCCCTTCAATTGGTTGCACACCTGTGCTCCCACTGGAAACTAAAAATGTATCTTCACACATACCAAGGAGAACATCTAGGAAGCAGCATGTCTGCTCATTTTTTAGCTAACATATACGAATGTCTTTTAGCCTTTAAAAACAGGCAATATTTTCTTCTGTTCAGGCCTCTTCCTGCCCTAGTGTTAGTGCATTACAAAATTTTCAGTTGAAACAACAGATACATTACTTGGAACTAAACTGTTTTAAGCATATTGCAGTCACTTAGAGCTGCTTTGAAATTAATCAAGCTTATTTAAAAAAAAAGACAATAATCAGAGGATATTAAAGGTTTAAATACAGAAAAGCCTTTCACTTAAGTTGTTAGCATTGGTGATGCAATCACTAGTTAACATATGGATCTTCAGCTCAAAGGAGTCATTAATTTCGCTGCAGAAATGCTGTTGATGCTTCTTCCAGTCAAATACAATGTTAACGTGCTCCTTTGCCGTCAGAGCGAGCAATTGAACATTTCACTCCCGACTGGTTCTTTGGCTTAAGACTCATACTTGGAAATTGAAAACTGCTTGCTCCAACAAAAGACACTTCTCAACAGAACCAGAAAACATTTAATTTCATTAGTTTGTAGGCACCCTCAGCTAGGCCAAAAGGAAAGAAAGTTCTGCTGGGGCAGAAGGGAGCTTGAAGCTGAAATACTCAAACAATTATATGTATCTTACTGAACCTGAGTAAAATTTTCATCAAAAAGAACTCTAACTCATTATTTCCTTAAATACTTAAACATTACTTTTTTTTCATTAGAAATCTCAGGTACTCACAACATATGATCTGTAAGTTCCTGCAAATAATCACAGAATCACACAGAATCACAGAATGGTAGGGGTTGGAAGGGACCTCTGTGGGTCATCTAGTCCAACCCTCCCGCTGAAGCAGGATCACTTACAGCAGGCTGTAGAGGACCTTGTCCAGGCGGGTCTTGAATATCTCCAGAGAAGGAGACTCCACCACCTCCCTGGGCAGCCTCTTCCAGGGCTCCGTCACCCTCAGAGGGAAGAAGTTCTTCCTCACATTCAGCTGGAACTTCCTCTGCTTCAGTTTGTGCCCATTGCCCCTTGTCCTGTCCCTGGGCACTACTGAAAAGACCTTGGCCCCATCCTCCTGACACGCACCCTTCAGATATTTATAAGTATGTATTAGGTCCCCTCGCAGCCTTCTCTTCTTCAGGCTGAACAAGCCCAGCTCCCTCAGCCTCTCCTCATAGGAGAGATACTCCAGTCCCCTCATCATCCTTGTAGCCCTCCGCTGGACTCTCTCCAGTAGCTGAATGCTGAAATAGATGCTAATGACCTACCTCATACAAGACAGACTGATCCCCAAAGTAATTCAAATTTTCCAAATTCTAGCATAGTTCAACTGATGGATCTCAGTAAATTTCAGGGAAAGCAGGTTACCTACATAGCCACTAGAGTCTTCCCTATACCCTATAACAATTAATTCCAAGCTGAGAGATTAAGAAGGCCCTAAAAAGTTTCCTAATGAAAATCAGAGCAAATATCTCATTCTCAGTCCCCTAGATGATCTGGAATAGGCGCATGTAAGCAGCTGCAAGCTGATTCCACCTACACTCTAAGACAGCAAGGTGTAAAGCAAAACAGATGTAAAGGCCAGGCATATTAGTGCAAATCTTCTTTACGCTAGTATATGCTTCTCAGACAAGGCCCAAAAAATATCTGGTAGAGATAGAAGACAAAAGCAAGAAAAAAAATGGCAAAAAATAGTACAAACCGCATGAAAATAGATATACTTTAAGCTGAGAGCAGCAAACTAAATGAGACTTGAGTGTATTGTTCTTTCTTCGGACTACAGAAGAAATAGAAAGGAAGGAAACAGAAGTTTTCCAAAACAAACAGAAGAGGCGTTTCTTATGTATATGGCTGAGAAAAATGGAAATAATCTCTATCCACTAAGAATGTATGAGTTCTGCAAATTCTCCAAGTAAAAGGAGAGGTGTTAACAAATAAGAAAGCACAAAATGTATCAGGAGGGCACATTTGCTGAAGGATTTTCTTTTATCAGAAGTAATTTACTCCACTAAATAGGAGTAAAACCACCGAGGAGTTTAGAAAAGTCTAATCACTGACCAGGTTCCACTAAGGATTATTCTGCCAAGCTGCAACCTGCCATACGACACTTCAAACAAAGCTGTAGATATGAGCTTCCACCCAAGCTGCCTCCTTCCAGCATCCCCATGGATTAGCTCTCTCATACAAAGCGTGATGGAAATCACTTGCTAGCACCTAGAAAGTGAGTCACCACCCCAGAGTGAACTTTAGTAAAATAGTTTCCTCTGACAAGAAAACTACATTGACTTTCAAGGTCACAATAATTTCTTAGTATCCCAGAAAGACAAATGAAGTAAGCAACACTGTCTTTATTATAACAGTAATACAGAGGGGGAAAAAGCTCACAGCTCTCACTCACCACTTGCAACCAAACTGGAAAGCTTTCTCTCCTTTTGAAAAATATATCAACTTTTTTCTTATTTAATTATATATATAATATAATACTATGTACATATTATAACTATGAAATATATTATATATATATAAATAAAACTTATCCTTGAAGGCTTCAGACATAGAAAAACACTGATTTGAGCATCAGAAGGAAGGTACCAGTAATCAGACAGCTCAGAACATTTACCATAGCACAAGCCAGAGAATTTAACTCAGTAATGGTATTTCCTTCACTAGAAACATCTAAGTATACACCAATTTATAAAACATAAACGCTTACATTCAATTAAGCTTGTAATTAATCCAAGAATACTTTCTTGAAGATTCTCAAGTAAGACTTGAACTAAAACACTAGCTAGTTAGTACTTCACAGATAAGTACCTCAATATATTTCTCTTCAGAAGACAGTTAGCATGTTAATAATCTTTAGTCTCTAAAATATATTTAAAAAGTATCAACCTTTTCCACTATGATGAGGTCTCCAACTTGTATGTCTGAACTCTTAACTTGCACTTTACCTTAAAAAAAAAGAAGAAATGTAATCAACTTAGGCAGACATTAATAAAGAGACACAAGAATATAAATCCCAGAATGCAAGTTATACTTAAAAGATGTTACTGTTTGGTGAAAATGTTACAATTTATGCAAAATGGATCTCTGATGAACACATTAATAAATAGATTTCATCTGTTTGAATAAATAATTCACTGGTTAAAAAAAGTCTAGTTTTGTAACCAGTTCACGACTGTAGAAGTATTAGACAAAAAAAATATGTATGGAAGATTCTCAAGTCTGATCTCTAGTACCAATAACAGTTGTAAAACTGGAAAAAGGAGTCTTTCACATCTCCTACTAGACAGCACTTCTATTTCTGACAAGTCACAAGTTGTTAGCCTTACATTGATGGAGCATTCACACACACAAGTTGTTAGTCACAGTCACCAGCAGGTAGCTTTGCTGGGCCACTAAAGCTCCTGAGGTAATTGGCACTGTCTGACACTTGCTGGCAATTATAGTGGAAAATAGGTAAGTCTCTCCAAAGGCAGAAGAAATGCCTTAAGATTTCATTTTAGAAAAGTAAAATATCGAAAGCTGAACTAGAAGTTTTTCATTGTCTCGAGCTGCCCATCCAGTAACTGCAGTGAACAACTCATTCAAAAATATACACAGCATATGTACCAATTTAACTTCTGTATGTTCTGAAGGGTATTCATATTTGTAAGATTGTTCAGATTTAACATTCTTATTTGATGGATGCAGAGACTGAGACAGAGAGGTTAAGCTGCTGCCCAAAATGAGTTATTGTTCATCTCATTGGAATTCAGGAGTTCTAGTCCCAGGTCCTTGCTACAATTCTAGAAAAAGTTGCTTCCCTGAGTTAAAAACAACCAAAACTAACCAAAAAAAATAAAACTTCCAGACAAACAAGTCATAACATATGGATACTCTCTTCCAAGATGTAACAGGTGATTAATTCAGAACCTGTTAACCCAGGATATAAACACGTATTTACACAGCCTGATGAGCTGAAACACACACGCATACAAAATCTCTTTTCCCATCAGAAACACTATCATGATTCCAAGCAGCAGGTATCTGATCAGCAAGCATCAAATGACAACTATGTAAAAACATGTTGAGGTGCTAGGGTTCTAAACAAAAATCAGGCTGAATGAATTGGAACAGAAGACCCACAAAAGCACAGGATAAGCAGCAATCAGTTTGGAGTTTAATCAAAAGGATTATAAATAGGAGATTTGTGAATGTGTGTTTTATCAACCCCTCAAAGTTATACTAAGTATAACTAAGTATAAAAGAAAAACTAAGCTAGGTTCCAACTCCATAAGATCTCCTCCTCCTCCTAACTCTCAATGAAGAGAAACCAGGTAGTTAACCTCAAAAAATTCCTTATACTTACACGTGCACTAGTCAAAGGTAGTAAGATTTATGTTAGGAATAATTATTTTCAGTACCTACTCTTTAAAATTGCATTTGATGCAAAAGTAACAGCTGTTTAATTCAGTCAATAATAAATGTATTCCTATAGCTAATTTTTTAATACATTTTCCATGACATTAGCACTTCTACAATGTGCAATGTCAGAGGAAAATCAGAACTTCTGTTTGGCCTGTCCACAAAGTTATTTCTGAAAGCCAGTCTTTGTTATCCAGAATGATCTTGAACACCAGTTCAATTTTTCAGTTGCCAAAAGCAGCTTCCCTCCCCCTCTCCAAAATATAAAACAAATTATATCTTCAACCTGACTCCTAACTCTGCCATAACACATTTATGAGGGTGAAGGGAGCAGCAGAAGACCAAGGTATAAAAAGCTGTAGCAAGAAACATTGGTGGTTCTCTACAGCAGTTTCAAGATACCTATGCAAATTACATTAGTGTCAATCTCTCAATGATTTTTTTTTTTAAATCTAAAGTACCTAAAGCTTAACTACTAAAAAACCAGTCTGACAGCATATCAGCACATTTAGTCTGCTTAACTGCTCATCCTGTGAATTCTCTTTAGAAATTCTCAAGTTTTAACTAGAAGTTAATAGTATATAGCAGAAAAACATAATAATCTTTATTTTCCGTTAGCCTTACCAAAAGGACAGCATTTCCTATTTTCTTGTCAACAATTTTCTTCAGTTTATCAGTGTGATAACCAAGTCAATTAAATGATTACAGTAATACCAGCCCCTAAAATCCTAGTACCAGCTGCATTAAGTCTCAGATCTACGCGACCTATGCAGTCATGTATGACCAAAACTATTCAGAGATACTAATCAAATGCGACTACTAGCAATTATATCAACTTCAACAATTGATTGTTCCAGTAATATTCTAACAGCATCTACAGTAAAGATCAAAAGACACTCAGCCTCAGAGGACGAGAGAAGGTAGAACATTCATTTGCAATGTGATGCAGCACAGCCAAAGACTCCTGGTGTTAAGTACACCAACAGGAATCCCCACTGCACCTTTGTACTCAGTCTAGCAATCCTGGGAATTTCACATTATGAATTGAAAAGTTTCCCTATCAGACTATTTTCTAGATGGGTTAGTACAATACAACAGGATATCGTCTTTATTACACACTAACATATCGTGTTAGAGCATCCTCTATATCCCCACACATAAGGAAGGGGCCTGTGACATACGAGACAATGAATTCTACAATGAATCTGAATGGCAGGACATATTCCATTAAAAACTAAATGGTAAAACGTGGCAGTAATTCAAAAAGTGGCTTAAAATTTTGAAAAGTCAACAAATAACACTTTCCTTTAGACTAGCAAAAATGAAAATCATTAGACACCATTTCAAAGAACATTAAAATAATGCAATACCACATCTTAGTGAAGACGCATTTAGAGAAAAGAGACACTGAATGTTATTCACTGCATAAATTATTTTTGCAAACTATTTTTTCTCTAAAAACATCTCTGTAGCAAAACACTCTTCACCATCTGTGTAATTACCAATAAAAAGTCCAAAGCTGTTAGAAGTGGCTGCGCATCCAGACTTTATAGTCCACCAAGGCGCAAGGCTTTTGCCTAAAGCAACATCTAGAATTATGCAGAACTGGAACACTGAAATGTGTCTGTAGTAATTCATTATACTCCCAAGATTAAGCCTTTTGAAATGAATTGCAATGATTTGAAAAAACTAATAAATATCTCATATGTGTTAACAAGTATTTCGCATAAAAATTTAAGAAATGAAGTAAACAAAATGTGGGTATATAGTATATCCAAAATGACTTTGTTTATTTTTATTAAAAAGTGTCTCTACTACCGGAGTACAAGCCACTCCAGAAAGAAGAGTAACCTCTGAGAGTAGCATTTTCAAATTCTTTTTAATTTGCTATTACATCTTACCGATGGTACCTTGAGTACTGTCTGAAGTACTGCTCCTGGAGTTGGTAACGGAGCTTGTCTTTAATCCATTAATACAAAACTCTTGAATGAAAGGAGTTAAGTATAGACTATCTGAAAGTTTTACCTGACATCTATTAACCTGAGTGGTCACCATAATTAGAGTATACCTAACATAATGGGGAGCGGGGGCAGCGGGTGAAAGCTTAAAGCTGCAGTGAGTTCGAGGTGAGGATCCTGACCTTTCAGTGCAAGGACTGTCCTTAGGTCCTTCTCTCAACTCCATCTTACATAGCGAACTAAGGTCAGTCTTTAATCACCAGTATAAAACTTTCTAGAGAGGAGCTTCCTAGCTCCTCTCCTCTGTGTACTTATCTCCTCCTTGGTGAACTGAAAAGCCTTCATTCTTTCTTATCCAGTCTCCTAGATGCTGCAAAAACGGGGAAGAGAACAGTCTCCTTGACAATTTCTCTCTTCTGGCCTCCTTTTGAAATTCTGTCTTACACTGACATTTCAAGTTCTGTTTCTGCTGTTGCGTACATCTTCCCTAATCAGCTAGATCAAATTGATACAATCCTTTAAAAACGTCTCCATTCCAAATGGTCTAAACACCAGGAATGGAGTTGTCGGTAGGTTTGAAATACTGCAAGTGCTAAAGACCTAATGTTGTACCTCTAGGTTCAGAAAGAATGTTGTGGGTTTTTAATATGGTGGCTTTTTAAAAAGCAGAAGGATGACCTGTTCTTGAAGAGCTGAAATTCTAATGTTCTAAGAGGTTTCAATACAGATTTCCAACAACTGCAAAAGAATAATATTACAATAAACGAGACATTCTGACAAACCTCTTATTTTGCAGTTGCAGATAACATAGGTATATATGATTGAAAACTGACTGCTGCTTGACAGAGACCATTCTGCAATTTAAAAAAAAAGGTCCATTTAGATACAAACTCAGGAAGGTGGCATTTTCGGTACAGACCAGCTCCCACTGCACAAACAGAAGTTCAAAGGTAAGAAAAAAAAAACTTTAATCATGTATCTCCCCAAAACAGACTCCTCAATTCTCCAATTTTAAAGGAAACATGCTAACTTTCATGCTTTCTCTTCTTATGTGTAGCAGTTATCGGTATATTCTCAATTTCACACAGTTTTGGCACATATTTTCAACTTCATTACATTCTTAAACACCATTTAAGGATACAGTAAAGACGTTAAGTCTTTCACATTTGAAACCTGAATGGAATGATTTAATTCATCTCATCTATCCTGGCATTCATTTTTTCTTTTGGTTTGCAGATTGCAAAGTGAGATAGAGTTCTGCAACACTTCCAAAAATCACGTTAAACATCCCAAGATGAAGTGACAGATCTTCTGCAACTTGCAGTTGTGACTATTATAGCTAGTTATATTCTTCTTGACCTTTTTTCTTCCAAACTTCAGTAACACTGCATGGACAAACCAAACTAGGAAAGGTTCAAGGCAGGACTGCCAACTTCAAGAACGGGAAGGAAAAAAACAGTTAAAATTGCTTTACAATTTTATTATCCAATTGGCTTTTGGCAGCTTAATAAGACAGATCACAGCCTGTTTATGAACTTGAGGTAATTCTTCTGCAGAACAGCACCATTTTTTCACAGGTATTTAAC